GGGAGTGACCGCTGCGGTGGTGGGAGTGACCACGGAGTGACCACTGAAGTGGTGGGGAGTGACCCCCCCAAAGTGGAGCAGAGTGACCCCAAAGTGGTGCAGAGTGACCCCAGAGTGGAGCAGAGTGACCACTGCACACTGGATCCCTGCTGGACACTGAGGGAGTGACCGCTGGGGTGGTGGGAGTGACCACGGAGTGACCACTGAAGTGGTGGGGAGTGATCCCCCCCCAAAGTGGAGCAGAGTGACCCCAAAGTGGAGCAGAGTGACCCCAGCGTGGTGGGGAGTGACCACTGGACACTGGATCCCTGCTGGACACTGAGGGAGTGACCACTGGGGTGGTGGGAAGGAGGTGGGAGTGACCACGGAGTGACCACCGAAGTGGTGGGGAGTGACCCCAAAGTGGTGCAGAGTGACCCCAAAGTGGTGAAAAGTGACCCCAAAGTGGTGAAAAGTGACCCCAAAGTGGTGAAAAGTGACCCCAAAGTGGTGCAGAGTGACCCCAGAGTGGTTGGGAGTGACCGCTGGACACTGGGTGTCTGCTGGACACTGAGGGAGTGACCACTGGGGTGGTGGCAAGGAGGCCACAGTGGTCAGGAATGACCCCAAAGTGACCCCAGAGTGGTGGGGAGTGACCACTGGACATTTGATCCCTGCTGGACACTGAGCTGGTGACCGCTGGGGTGGTGGCAAGGAGGTCAGAGTGACCATGGAGTGACCACCAAAGTGGTGGGGAGTGACCCCCAAAGTGACCCCAGAGTGGTTGGGATTGACCACCGGACACCTGGACCCTGCTGGACATTGAGAGTGACCACCGGGGTGACGGTGGCGACCTCAGAGTGACCCCCAAAGTGACCCCCAAAGTGACCCCTGGACATGTGGACACCGTGACCCCGAGTGGGTGACCCCCGGGGTGATGGCAACGAGCCCAGAGTGACCAGAGTGACCACGGAGTGACCAGAGAGTGACCAGAGAGTGATCACAGAGTGACCATGGAGTGACCAGAGAGTGATCACAGAGTGAGCACAGTGACCACGGAGTGACCAGAGAGTGACCAGAGAGTGATCACAGAGTGACCATGGAGTGACCAGAGAGTGACCAGAGAGTGATCACAGAGTGAGCACAGTGACCA